CCCCCCACACACACACACACACACACACACTTATCTACCTGCCAACGCCATTTCTTCCCCTTTTCTTGGAAGCTCCAGGGACATTAGTGTGTGTGTGTGTGTGTGTGTGTGTGTGTGTGTGTGTGTGTGTGTGTGTTTTGGGGGGGTCTTATACTGCGTTCTCTTAATGACCGCAGTAAGTGCCCCCCGCCCCACACACACAAACATTTCTTTTTCTAAATCGAATTTGGATTGTGCTTTAAAAAAAGCGAGAGAGGGAGAGGGAGAGGGAGAGAGAGAGGGAGAGAGACCAACCGCAAAGCATTTCAGGTCCCTGCCTTTGACGTGCATCACAGCACAACATTAAAACAACATGAAACAAGTGTTGAGTGCATCTTAGATGTTAGAGATGATTGGCAAAGATTGTTATATCCTTCCTGGTGCTGTCGTTTCGGGATTACTATGACGTCACTTTGATACTCTCCCATGGATGAATGCTAAAGAACTATAGAGCAGAAAATAATACAAGCAGGCTCCATATCTTTGCAAGCCTTACGTTATTTCCCCCCTTCTTTTAAATCCCCCTTTTCATTTAAACCTTCTATACATTGGGGTGTTTTGTTTTTTTTATATATATATCTCTATATTTATATATAAACTTATATATTTATATATATATTTAAGGAGGATGGGAGGTGGGGGTAACCTTTTTCAGGCTTCAAACCTCATGCCTCAGATGCCTGGCTGCTTTTCTTAAGTGCAATCATCCATAATTGAGAAAAAAAAAAGCCATACGTGGAAATGTGTGTGCGAGAAGGTGCATCCTGAAGCAGGGTTCAGTTGCAATCGATCTGGGAGAAAAAATAATATTGCCTATGGTCCAAAAATAAGGAGCAGCTATGTCCTTCTCTCAGTTCGGATACCCCTACAGCACCACTTCACAGGTAAGACAAAAGTGAGTAGCACTCACTTTTGATCAGATTCTGCTGCTGCTGCTGCATTCCAGATGTCTTGTTTCCTTTCCCCCCTTCCTTAGAGTCTTTTTTTTAAAGGGCACATCTGGAGTCTTCTTTTTTTAAATGTGTGCGCGCGTGTGTCGTTTGTGTTATGCTAGGATTAAATAAATAACCCTCAGTTTGCAGGGCAGGGAAGCTGATTTTCCTCCACTGTTCAATTTTAAGTGCAAGAAAAAAAGCCTCGGTGCAGCTGATTTACAAATCTGTATTGATCTGTTACCTATGTTCCTCACTTCCAGCTTTCAGTAGAGAGGCGAAGCTTTTGCAGAAGCGTTATTCTTTCCTCTGTGATGTTATCCTCGAGCGCTAGTGGCTGGGTACCTGCCGAAAGTATTCGGGCATAGCTGTCTCGTTTTGTGGGGTCTTCCGATGTATTAGTTCTGTGTGTAACTTGCCTCTTCCATTCTCCTCCACCCTACCCCCGTATGTCCTTAACTGCATTTTTTCTAAGAATAGGTCGTTTCTTGCCGGGCGGCTTCCAAAATGCCCTCAAATTACCTAAAAAATACGTCTCTACCGTAAACTGATCCATAATGTATTTTAGTTGGATTATTTATACTCCGGGATCACAGAAAGATTTTTCCTCGGGAAGCTGGCTTCTTTTGCCTTTAAAATTAAGGAAAGCTAATGCCTCTGACTGCATTATCTGACATATTTAGTGTTTGGTCTATGGTCAAATTAACGGCAAGCACAACTTCTTGCCTTTAAATCAATGGAAACTGAGCGATGGGGGCTGAGGAGAAGCGAGGGGCAGAGAGAGGCTGTAATTTAAGTCTAGTTTCCCCGAAGTTTGGATGAATCGCTCCCACGCCCCCACCCTCCCTTTCTGTATATTTTTAATTTCCCATCATTAGTCGCCTGCCTGGATGTTGTCCCTGCTCCACGCTCGTGCTGCGTCTAAAGTAATCGGCGTGAACCTTCTCTCCCCTCCCCAGTTTTTTGTGTCAGCCAGCCCCAGTACGACCTGTTGTGAATCTGCCTCCAGATCCGTATCGGATGTTACCTCTGGATCTGCCCAAGCTGCTACTCTTTGCTGTCCCTCTTATGAGAACAGGCTGCTGGCCAGCACCAGGACGGAACTCAATGCAGCTCTGGGGATGTACAGTTCTCCCTATGCAGCCGCCGCAGCGAGCCAGAGTTATGCCAACTACCTTCCCTACAGTGCAGACCCGTCCACTCTCTACACCACGCTGGTGAGTAGAAATCCAAGCACCATGCCCAGGTGATCTTATCAGTATGTTCCCTATCCCTGTAACTTTGGGGGAGGGATAAGGGGGGTGGGGGGACAGCCCTCCTGCAACAGGCAACCAAGTTGGGTTTCTGGATGGAGTAACAGAGGAGAAAATCGCCTAGAATAATGAAATGGGCACAGTCCTCCTGGGGGAAAAGCAACAGCGGGCATCTCAGCCCGGCAGAGATGCAGAGAACCAGGGTGAGCGTCAGGGGACAGGAAAGCGGGCAGTTTCCACAAGTGGAGGGATTTCGGATTTTACCACCATCTATCTTAACGTCACAAGCTGCTCCTTCCCTTCCAGAACCCGCAGTATGAAATTAAGGATGGCACCAGCAGTTTGCACTCGGGAATCGCACAGCCTGCTGCCTACTACCCCTACGATCATTCCTTAGGGCAGTATCAGTACGACAGGTAAAACCCCTTTGATCATTTGAGAATAACATTAATATCCCTCTGTGATGCAGCAACAGACATGAAAAAACCCCGGGATTTTCTAGCTGACAAATGTTATACAAAGAGTCCACGCGACCGGTAACAGCAGTCACCTAAAATAAAACTTTGCAGCTAATCTCAGTGCTAATTGCAATGGAATGAAGTGTCTAGGAAAAGGCAAATTGGATTGGCAACATCTGCTACTAAAGTGGTGACACGTGGTGCTCCAGTGTTAAAATAGAGTGTAATAGTTTAGACTTCACACACACAGGGGTGAATTACCAAGCGGGACAGGATGCTAACGTGGGAGCCCCGGCTCCAGCTAGCAAGTGGAGTAGTAGCAGAAGATACTCCCTACGACAAGAGCAGAGCAATTTTAAGGAAAGCCACTGTTTTTTTTATGCACTCATTATGTTTAGACAATCTTATAGGCAAGTTCCTTTTGGGTAACAAATGCTGGTGACATGTTCTTTTAATATTTCCCAGCAGGTATGGGACCGTGGATTTCAGTGGTTCGGCTAGACGCAAAAATGCAACCCGAGAGACAACCAGCACCCTTAAGACCTGGCTGTATGAACACCGGAAAAACCCTTATCCCACCAAAGGGGAAAAAATTATGCTGGCCATCATCACCAAAATGACTCTGACTCAAGTGTCCACTTGGTTTGCTAACGCCAGGCGCAGGCTCAAGAAAGAAAACAAAATGACCTGGTCTCCTAAGAACAAAGCAGGAGAGGAGAGAAAAGAGGAAAACAAGAGAGAAGAGGAGGAATATGACTTGGAACCTGAAGGCAAAGGTTGGTGGGAAAGGCAAGCTAAGGAGAGGGGTTGAATAGGCAAGTCTGAAAAGGTAGAAGAAATGGAGTATTTCCTCTTGTTTTCCTGATAGCAGCAAACGTGCTTTAAAAAGCAAGGGAAGGGACAGGCCCCATCTAAGAATAAGAGACAACAGTAAGTCCCAGCTCTGGAGGAAGTTGCCTTTAAAGTCATCAGATAACAGCATCTTCCTTTCCACGCACACGCGCACCCCTATTAGTGAGTAACATCTTGCCTGGCAAAACCTCCCCCGTGCCGTTCCACAATTTCGCTAATGCTTTGTCCCCCCCCTCCCCCCTTCATTATTTTGAAAAGCAGATCAGAAAAGCTGCAAGGAAGAAAAGGAATTAAGACTGAGTGATCTGGACGACTTGGACGAGGAGGAAGCCGAGAAGCTAGACGGGGACCGAAAGGGCACCCATCAAGAAGCCTCCAGCCTCAGCACCGCCTTGGCTGAGTCTGAGAAAAGCGACTGCAGCTTGACGCCACCAAGCAGTTTTCACACTTTTCCCTGTTCCAAAACCAGCTCAGCAGCAGCAGGAGACTTCTTAGAGACCGTGGGCCAAAAGCCAGGCCCCTTAGTGGGCACCATGAGTCAAGTGCAACAATACGAAACGACAGAAAAGCCCAGAATCTGGTCTTTGGCTCACACGGCAGGTGCCAATGTTATAATTGGCCCCAGCACCCCTGAACCAAGGACAGTGAGCCCGGACTGCTTGCTGCTCAGAGGACGGCACGCTGTCCCTGGGCACTGCAGTGAAGGGAGGCCCCTCGCCAGTCTAAGAACCCAGCCTGGTACTGACAGTGCGTTTGAAGAGCTGCCCCAGCCCACCAAGATATTCAGAAACTCCACTTTCAACCTCCAGTCAATACAGCTGAACTGTGCTTCCTATCCAGTCTTGGGGGAGACGTGCCAGTATTCTTCAGGAGCTGAAGGTACCCGGACTTCCATATTTCTCTTCATCCTGAAGGGGGTAAAAATCCTTGAGTGATAAAACCATGCAGCTCTGCCGAAACAGTCCAGTCTCTTTTCCACATTAATGGTAATGGCTGTTTCTATTCCACCACGCTGGTTTGCCTCATTAAACTGTGTCCCACATGTCACACGAAACGCACACCGGGCTTTTTGGGGGGTAATTCGCGCAACACAGAGCTGTCTGCTGCCCTAAATATTGTTTTTGCAGATACTTTCCCTAATGTCCTAACCACTCTAATTACTGTAGTGCAACCCATTGCTGGCTGGGGGCGATTCCCACAGAGCCTGCCCTAGGTTTCAGGACGCTGGAAAGCTTGTTGGCCTAGGGAGGAAGCAGGCAAGTGTACATGTGTGAACCGCTGACTGTGAACTGGTTGTGTCTGTACGCAGGGTTTGGGAGAAATGTGAAACCTACCCAAGGAGCCATAGATCTCAGTGAAGCTTGCCTAGTACAGCATAAAGACAAACTGAGAACAGCTTTTAGGCCAGTGCTGAAGAGGTGAGGTAGGTGACTGACTTTCCTGCACGCTACATCAGGTTATGGTCTTGTCAGTGGGTCAGTAAAGAGAGGCTGGGCTGGGTCTGCAAGCGGGGGGGACCCTGTTTGGTCTCAAAGCCCGTTTCAAACAGCTGATCGAGGGTGTGTGCCGCTAATAGCAGTTTGCTCTTTTCCAAACATCCGCAAATTTAACAACTCCGGGTTTTATCTTTTAGTACAGAGGTTACAGATTGAGGCTGGGGCTAGATTGTGAAGCCAGGATGGGCAGAGGAGAAGATAGTCACGGGCTCTGCTTTTCAGTGAGATTTCTCCCAGGCCCAACAACTCTTCTAGTACATGAGTTTGAAATGTTACTTAGAGCACGCACTAATTGGATCCAAATGTAGCAAGTGCCTGGAGGCACTGCCTGTGCCTCCGTTCAGCATGTCTCACTCCGGTTCTGTAGGACAGGGGTGACTACTCCCATCCCCGCTCTCTGGTTGGGGGTGTAGTCAAAGCCTTTAGTCTCTTAAGGGGCGGAAGCCCCACCAGATCAATGCCAGTGCAATTTTCATCACCTTTCTTTCCCTTTCAGCAGGTTAGCCTGTCTTTTTGAGAATCCTGAAGATGGTTCTCAGTCTGCATCAAGGCTCTTGGCTTAAAACTATCCTCCATGAACAATGATGATCTCCACTCCTTGAAAGCATTAACTGTGATTCTCGCTTCCCTCCCCCTGCGATGGGGAGCGGTCATACCAATTGCACAACTTGCTTTTAACAAATGGATGAGACTTAACACACAATCGGAAACAGGACGGAGGAACTGTAATAAATTCTAGACCTTGTCTCATGCACTGGATCATTGTAGTTTCGCACAAGTTTACAAAACAGTACTCCTTCCCATCTCTGAGTCCACTGCAAGCCACATCGTCCTCAGTGTACAACTACTTTGTCATTTGTTAAACCCCCAGTGATTGTCTTTACCAAAAAAAGGCCAAACATTTTGTTTCTTTCGCCCACATTGTGTCTTCCTTTAAACTACTACTTTCATTTTCTTTTCTTCCTCTGGTAAAGTATCTTTGTAAATCATAATGTCTGTGTTTGTTCTGGGGAGACAGAGAGAGGGGTATGGTTTAAGTTAATAGTGCGACATGCAAGGCTGTTTCTTTTCTGTCATTGTACAAGGATATGGCTGAAAGTATTTTTAAGAGTCTCTAATTAAAGCGGATCAGCTGAATGGTGTGAATCCGTCTTGTGAACCTCTAGAACTGGTAACCTCACTCTGAGCTGCTCACACCCGTGACACGTAGGGCGATTGATTTCCCAAGAGTGTTGGATTTCTCCTCACCCCTACTCCTTTAAAAAATAGTTTCCCTCCCCCTTGCATACTGGGACAAAAAAACCGGGTGGGTACCCCTGGAAGTTGGAAGTCTAGCAACTGGTTTGTAGTGGCAAAGTAGGACATTGTTAGTGGGTCACATCACCACCATCCAGTTTAAAGAGCAGTGCTGTGCTTTACAAGACAGACAAGAAAGGGAAACCGCATCTCTGCATTGTTTCTGTTTAATTAAAAGTGTCATCAAACACTTTCTTGTCGAACTAATAAACCGCGCATAGATGAGGAAAGAATGTTTCTTTGTTTCTAGAAGCAGTGGCAATAATTTAAATTAATAACTGTGGTAATTAAGAGGTCATCTATAGATCAACCCGATACCAGCTATTTCCAAGTTCACCAGGGTCACCATTTACATTAAGTCATTTGTGGTCAATAGAGTCCAATGAATTTTACCTTAATAAATCAGGGAAATCAATCCTCAATATCGAGTAGGCTTCTGTGTATTTACCAAAGGCCACCAAGACAAGTGGGACTGCGGAGGTGGAGGTCCCCTCGTCGTGTGACCGAGAAGTGAAGCATGGAATGTGGTCGGAAAAAAATCAATGAGGGGGGAAAGCCTTTGGAAGTGGCCTGTGGGTAGTGCTTTATGAGTACACGTGCGCTTTCCCCACCAGTGTGCACGGGCGGAGATTAGGGTTTCAAGGAGTTGATCCCTTTGGGAAGCAAGTCTCACCGACCCTACCGCCTCCCTGCCCCGTGTGATCTCAGCTGGGAGCGGGGAGGAGGCTCCTCTCTCTATTCTTACGATTGTAGCTGAATCCCTCGATTCGGACCGGGTTGCTTTGAGGTCGCAAGGCATAGATGGTAAACGGCTGTCTGCCTGCTTTGGGTCCAGCCCTTCCTCTCCGAGTTGCCTAAGCGAGGACTGCAGGAAATGCCTCTTTGCAAAGCTGACCTGCAGGTTGCGATCATACAATCATGGCCAAGTAGGGTTGGCCGGACCCTCAGGGGGTCATCTAGTTCACCCCCCTGCTCAAAGCAGAACCATTCTCAACTGTATCATCCCAGCCAGGGCTTTATCTAGCCGGGTCTTAAAAGCCTCCAAGGATGGAGAGTCTACAACCTGTCTGGGTAACATGTTCCAGCGTTTTGCTACCCTCCTAGTGAGAAAATTCTTCCTAATATCTAACCTAAACTTCTCTTGCTACAGCTTGAGATCTTGCTTCTTGTCCTACCTCCGGGGTGGGGGGGGGCTCTAATTGAAGGCGTTTCCAGGCGCCGGGGCAGAGGCTGGGCTCCTGGACAGGGAACTTTTTTGCTCTAATTAGAAATCCTAGTCAGATCACCCTGATGGCGTTGCTAATCGCCCATGAATCTTAATAAGCGACATTCACATTTCAGCTCCACAGTTTCGCATTCAGACCTTATTGCCAGCTACACTGAGGACCCAAGTGCCCTCTCCCCTGTTTAATGAGCGGGTGATAGGACAGAAACTCAGTTCTGTTCCTACATCTCTGGAAGTTCAGAATAACTAAGTCTGTAAATGTCCCTAGTCCTGATCGGGATCTTCCTACTGCCTCCTCCCCAGGCTCTGCCCTGAGCGGCCCTTAGCGGCCCTGAGCGGCCCTCGAATAAATGACTGGTCCTTTTGTTTCAGGTTTTCACTTTCTGATAAAGCCAAAGGAGTCTTTGCAGCCTGCGGGGTGGAAGACCAAGGGGGACGTCGTCTCTTGCAATTCCAAGAGGTTCTGGACTCAAGTGCTTGAAAAACCGACAGGCAGCAGAGGGGATGTGTCCCAAGGGGCCTGTGTCTGGGGTGCAGGGCACTCAGCAAACAAGCCCCGAAAGCAGGGGCGCTTCTCAGCTGCAGGAGCAAAGGCGACTTGCTCGCAGCTATTTTTGGATATTGCTTTTCCACTTCCTTAGCCGTTCTTGGCAAAGCCCAGCTCCGCAGAGGCGACAGGCTGGCGCAGTGACCTGCAGCTTAGAGGTAGGGAAATTAAGCTGCGAAAAGAGAAACATTATTTCAAGTCGGATTGGAAGGATTAATGCTTGTAATACAGAGCATTAGGCCTAGGCGGAGGGGTCTTGCAAGTAGACGTGTCAGCCCTTCCCCTTCTGGCATCCAGCAGGGAGGCCCAGGTATTGGCAGCGCTGGGGACAGCAGCAGAGGGGCGCCCTGCACACACATCCAGACAGAGCCAAGGACCTCCGAGTCCTTACCACTTGAGACACTCGCTGGGATGCCAGCAGTAACCTGAATTCACCTGGACCGACTCTCAGCAAGAAGGGGATCTACACATCTATGCCCTGCAGGGACTTGCTCAGCTTTGTACGGGGAAAGGGGAAGGGAAGGGAAGCGGGTAGCTCGGTTGTGGCACTAATACAGAACCCGTGTGCTGACAACAGCCCCTCGCCTGAACCTCAGCACTCCCCTGTCCCACTCAGGCCTCAAAGAAACAGCTCCAATCTCTGGGGTCTCAGCCAGGAAAAACAGGACTGGACCTTCGTGGTGGGCCCTTGTTTTGAAGCACATGCAGGGCAGGTCCCTTTCTCCCCCGTCCCAGAGGGCTGGCAGGCATCCGAGCCTCGCTCGCCCCCCGGGGAGACGGACGAGCTCCTCTTGAGCTGGGCGCCGTTGGTCACAGGAAGCCCCCAAGGAACCTTGCTCCCAAGGGCGCTGCAGTGGGAGCCGGGCCCGGGCCCCTGTGCAAACCGAGGCGCCCCTAAACCCCGTGCCCGGAGCTTTGTACCAAACTGATCCAGAGGAAAAGGCGAGAGGCAAGCGGAACAGGCCAGCGTCTCCTTGCCGGGCAGGTGCCCGGTTATCCCCTCGCCTCCGCCTCTCCCTGGAGACTTCTCCGGCTCCAGCCCCGCACTCCAGCACTGCCCTTATTAAACGCAGATCTACTTGCTTTAGGAAGATTAGTCCCGAAATGGCGATTAGGGGATACTTAAACACGTTGGGGTGGATTTTTTTAAAGGGCAGGCGACGGAATGACGGGGACCTGCTGGGAGTCTTAAGATTTTGCATTTTATTTTATTTATTATTATTATTATTATTTATTTTACTCTTCTTTTATTAAAGGTCAAGCGAGCGCGGTGCAGATTATCCAGCCAGCTCAGAGCTCCCTGCAATCTGTTATAACGGCAAGATATGTATCGCAAATCTCTCAAAATATAATCTTTGGGAATCATATTCTGAATACTGTTTTGATTAAAAATCAGAGCGAGGATTGACGCAGAACTCATATGAAAAGAAGGGAGCGGAGGGCTGCAGAGAGCCTGAACAGTTCAGGAAATAATAATAATAATAATAATAATAACGGGCTGGGCCAGGTTTTAAAAGAGCAAACCCGATGCATTCAACACAGTGATCAACATACAGATCTTTGGGATGAGCTCTATTAGGGGCCAGATTTCTGATCTGATTCATCCACCCAGCCCCGATCCCTCTGGAAACAATGAGCACACGAGGCTGGGCACACAACCAAGGGTAAGTAGGGCCCGATCCTGCCGAGGGCCGAGAGCTCAGTTTCACAGCAAAAAGGGGACCCAGCCTCAGGCAGGATGGGGCCCTGGAAGACGGCGGCTGAGACACGCTTAAGCCTTTCAAAGGCTGCGTTTGAGACCCCCTTCCCCCGTCTTGTATAGCTAGTTGATCTCGCCCCAGCCCAGCGCTGTGAACACCAGTGCTACGAGCAAGGACCCTTCAATCTTCGCCCTCCCCCTCGCCTGGTAGCCAAGAAAGGCAAAGGCTGCCTGGGCTGGAAGCAGACTCTTTAGTAAAAGCAAGAGGAGGGAGGATCTCAAGTGAGAGGAACAGTAAATAGAGTCCTCTGCTCCAAGCGCTCCTGTGCTGCCGACAGTTTAAGATTGCCCACGGCGTCTGCTCCAGCCAAAATCAAGCTCCGTGATGAGCAGGGTGGGTGTGGGGGACACGCGTCCTCCCTACCACGCTGCAAATATCATTGACACTGCACCCCCCCCCCCCCCCCCGGGGGAGGGTGGGCATGCCCTATATATCTACTAACGTGGCAGCCCACACACCTCAGCACTGCTACCGGACCGCCCTGAAACCTGGATGGAGCACGATTACCATCCTGGATAGTAGCATCCTAGTGCACTACACGCCTGCACCCTTGTAGCTACTGGGGAAAAATCATGATAGGAGCAACGAAGCAAATACAAACTCATTGAAGAATATGGATTTCTAATGTAGTGTTAAACTCCTGCTCTATTGCAATAATGTAAAAGGATGGGGTAGTCTAACGCCCTGGAGTTAACTTCTCCAATTCAAGTGTGATACAACTCGGCGTCAGACAGATCTTCCCTGTGCCTGTCTTACAGACAGCTTGCCTTACTTATATATCAAGGAAGAAAAATTGGAGCTGACTGATGGGAAGAGCACACTAGCCGGAGAAGGTCCAGCGGTCTCTGGTCCAGCGCTGTTCGGTTCTCCGCTGGTCGCAGTGAGACCGCCCGGCAGAGCCGGTTATCGACCAGGACATGCGGCTGTCACATCTCGTACATAGACAGTGTCTGCCTAAATCACCAGAACCTTTCAGAAACCAAAACAGAAACCTTTCAACCAAAGAAAGGTTGCAAGATCTCCGAGCGTCAGCATTTGATGAATAATTTGACGTCTATTATTTCAAAGAGATCATGTTGTTTAAGTGCGAGGCTTTCATTTAGACCAGCTGCACAATTATTTTAGTATCATGCACTCAGAACAATCAAACAACCTCCCTCCACCTTAATTCTGAAGTGTTTAACACCTGCCACTGTAGACTTCATTCGTCTTTTGGCAGCAAGAAGAAAACTTGCAAACTAACTGCAGTCCGGCATAAATGCCTCTAATCGCTTTCTCTGCATGCCCTCATTTGATTTGTGTGCAGAAACCAGGGGCACAAACCTGTTGATTTCAGTCGCTGAAATAAAACAGCAGTAACTGCTCTGGTGAGCAAACGACACGAAACCCTGGCAAAGCAGGAAGCCCGGAGAGGGTCTCCTTCCTCTAAAAAGTGTGCGAGAGCTACTGCAACCAGAGGAACAACCCCCCCCCACACACACACACACACCCCCCCTGCTCAAGCCAGTTGAAGTCTTTTCTTCCCCAGGAGATACAGAAGCAAGAAATGGCAGGGCTTCACAAGGAACTCCCCCTGTTCCCCTCCAGCTGCTCCGCTTCATTATGGGGGCTAGTTTTCCTGGAGTGGGGTCAATATCCTGAAATCGTCCGGCAGCCCACGCGTGACAAGTCTATCTCCCCTGTCAAGATGTGACAGGCCACGTCACTGGGCTTGAAACATTCTCAGCTGAGGGAATCTACCCTTATCTGCCCCACGTCAGGGCAAGGGAAAGGGTTCCGGATGTCACACCGCCTCCCATAACT